TGCAGATTTTCATGTGGATTTCATGCAGTGGTGCGGTACGACGTTGCATGTCTGTTGAAGGATCAAGAGATGCAAGTTCTTCCACTGGTGAGCAGTTGACACCGCCTCAGCTTTACGAGGTAGCAACGGACCCCATCAATACCACTCGGTGCCCCCTGTGGAGAACGCCTGAAGGACTTCGCTACACGCAACCACCACATCCAGCACCATATGCGTATGAGGAACAGCGGGCTCCGCTTCCCCCACCACTACAGTCATGGGAACGTCTGGTCAGTGTGCTTATGTCAGGTTCTGCTGAGTGCTCAGAACAGCATGACAACCCCACAGGCTCATTGCATGAGGCAACCATCACTATGGATTCAGGAACGGTGGGGACTCATAGACCCCTCAGGCCAGTTGACGTCTACCAGGATCCAGGCCGACAGGAACCAGATGGAGAGATGCCCGCATCGAAGCGTAGGCTCGCTGCTTGTGCACACAGTCTGACTAGAGCGCTCATGCTCACCAAGGACAACCAATACGTAGTGGTAATGCAAGAGACATCTGAACAGGCAGAAATCCAACGACGTCGAGGTGTGACTTCACCAGCTGTAACTGAGGACCGTAGTAACCAGAGCAACGCTTGTCAGACACTCAGGCAACTGTCAAACACCATGCTGCAAAATTGCTCGCAGGCGGTTGATGCAGCAAGAGAAATATACTGTCACCAATCCAGTACTCGAGAATTGATGTGGCCTTGCAGCAACAGCTTCGCTGCATATGCATTACCGAGAGTTTCCTGGCCCCAGCGCGTGAGCACGTGGAAGGCCAGATCATGCAGGCGGGAGCACACATTGAGCTGCATGCTTGGCACTGGTAATTTAACGAGCACTGCTAGCGAACAGAATCCGCTTGCCCGAATAGCAACCTTGATAGCAGTAGCTTCCTTTCAGACAGTTGCTCCAAGGCCGGCAACTGCAGAGTCCTCTGTCAGACTTGAACCCGCAAGCATGACAGGGCCTGCGCCAAAGGAGCTGACACGGTGCAGCACCCAGGCACCAGCTGCTTCCGCTCCTGCTTTTCACTCACGAGGGCAAGTGGTTTCCACTCCCAAACATGTCAGGCACAGTGGGTCATCCGGCTGGTCACAAATAGTAATGCAGACCATTCAGGATGGGCTACGCAGATTGAAGCCCTTGACTAATTCACATGCTGACGTGTTATTCACTGACTTGATATGGCCTAGACTCAATTCCATCACTCGACACACTGAGGTCAGGGCCACGGCCAACTGCCTACCGAGAGGCATCTCGCGGTCGAAGAAGGCGGATCATGTCTGCGATCATACCGCGTTGCAAACTGCAGACCACACGGCAAGACGTGACTGTTCTGTTCATTTAACCTGCGCAATGCATTGGCTCTGCACTCACTTCACAGGGTTTGCGGACTCCGCACCCTTTCGTAGACAGAGCACTCTTGGTCAGGGAAGCTTCTCAAGAATCATAATGTCGGAGGCACCATGTACACCATGCGTGACCTGTGGATGGCGCCCCTGCAGATGCACATCGTTGGAGGAAGCCCTGCACAGCATGCTACCTGGCGAACACCACGAAAGGCAGACATCTGGAGGTTCTGGCGACTCCTCTGCCAGCATGATGTGCATTTACTGTCTTGAGCAGCCGTGCGTCTGCATGCAAACAGCTGCAGTTCCGATTGTCGTGCCGAAGTCTACTCGCACGGAGGGCGAAGATGACACAGCACACTTCCTGGAAGAGCCCATAGAAGTGGTGAATGCACAGGAAAGTGAAAGGGAAGGCGGACTCCGCACCCAAGATCACCAACCAGTGGAACATGATGCTTCTACCAAAAAGGTAAACACTACGTGGCTTCGCTTCCTTGACGTTGCACAGAATGATCAAGAAGCATCCCTCCTACGAGCCCTTCCTGAACCATCACTGGAAGTAAGTGACCTTGCGCGAGCGAGCTTCTTCCTTGAGCAGATACGCCAGCTCCCGGACCCCTTGAAATCAAGGCTTGTGAATAAGATAGAGGAGCAGCATTCGGATCTCCTACGAGAACCTCGGGGTGTAGATCTGGTCGCACGCTTTGAGGCGCAGCGATTGGAGACGGCGACTATCGGGACAACGGCAGGACACGAGATGCCGACACCGACAACACCAGTGACAGGACCGGAGGGGAATGCGGCCTCCGCTCCTTTCACCACAGAAACAACAGACCTCGACGAGTTCTTAGCAGGTTTTGCTGGCACTTCTGAGACTGAAGACAATAGTGCAATTCTGCAAGACATGGGCGAGCCATTTGCAGACAGTGGAGCGGCCTCTGGACAAATTGCGTCCACGCCGGATGTACAAAGTGAGGAATCTGAAGGAGATGGGCCAAGGTGCTCCAACCGGCCGCCCACTCGAGCATATGAGAGTGCATGCGAGCGTACAGTCCTGATGTGCACAGCATACAAGAGTGCTAGGGCATGCAACACGGGTGCTTACCGGGCTGCACGATATTCTGCGCAGGCCACCCACTCGCAACACGAGAAGCGCGTTGCAACTGGGAAGGTGGACTCCACACCCAGCCGGACACTCAAACGCGGAGAGAGTCACCCAGTTTATGCGATTCATAGCAAACCCCATGCATGCGCCGACCGCCATCAGATCGATGCTGTGAATAGACAAGAACTAATATCTGATTACAATAGAGCATACGTGAGTGCCTCTAAGATCGGATTGTTCACAAAAGATCACAGCTGTGCGTGCGCTTGTGCTGCAACGATCTGGTATGCAATTAAAAAATACACAACCCCACAGCCCATCAGAATACACGCACGACCTCCACCTGCCCAGGCTGACAAATCCACGAGACGGCGCAACGATCCCATCGATACTGGGAACGTGGTCTCCACACCCAGCAGGGCACTCAATTGCCTTGCGAAGCTGCTGGTTTGCATCCTTACGTACACACATGCAGAACATGAGATCAGCCATCGAATCGGAGCACACTTTGGCTCATACCCATCCCTCCCCCCCACCATAAGACTGGCCCTGACGGAACCACAACCCCCCCGCCTTCCACTTCTTACACCTGACCTCGGCCTCCGTACTTGCACTGAAGATTATGTGCAAGAGACTGAACTTGAGATAGGTCAGGACACCCACAGCGTCACCATGAACTCTGATCACATAACTACAGGGTTTCAGGGAACAGCACCGGGGATACTGGTTTTAACTCCTGCCAATGTGCCTGCTTGCAACATGGGACCCAGTCCGAGCTCAAAGAAGAAGTCATCTCGGCGTTTACCCACAAGACTACGCCAGTCGGGCGCTGAGCCCACAGGCAAACTACTTGCCCTCAGACAGGCCGCTGTGGCAAAGGCGCAGAAGAGGCAAAGGAGTACAGCGGACTCCGCACTCCAAGAAGTCACGCAACAAGACGAACCTGGAGAAGAGCCATCAAGTAGTAGCCGAGTGCGCTTCCACCCGAAGAGGCGTAAGAAGGCCAGCTCGGAAGACATGGTGGAGATGGACTACATCATAGAACTCTCTGAACCAGAAGAGGACACGGAGCAGGACACGGTGCCCACACCGGTGCACAATCGCAACCTGACAGCGGACTCCGCTCAGGTAGTCAGAAGCCGTCGACAGCGAGAAGATCTGCCGAAGCCCGCCTCGGGCGAACGCCCAACCGCGAGCAAGCGGGGGGAACCACCTAGACCACCGCTGGCGCGACGAAGAAAGACGGCCATATCAAAAGCACTCACGGACGTCCTGAGACACTCTGGAGCAAGGCAAGGATTGGAAGTGAGAGCAGATGCACTCTTTGAACTCCGTGCCGTTCTGGACACGCACAAGCTTAAGGCGCTACATGCACAGGAACACGAAATCCTGCAAGTGGTCGAAGAGAGCGACAAGAAGAGATTTGAAGTGGTCCAGCGGGAAGGGGCAAAGTGGATCAGAGCGGCACAGGGCCACTCCATGGAAGGCATAGACAACTCCACCTTCCAAGTGCGGGTGCCCAGACGCCTGCTGCCACAGGAGCTGTATCACGGCACATACGATGATGCCTACAGCCAGATAGTCCAAAGTGGACTGTTGGCGGGTGGTCCGAGCCGCAAGCGAAATGACATACACCTCACAGAGGGGCTGCCGACTGATCGTCCTATCTCAGGAATGAGAAATACATGCAACATTGCACTCGCGATCCTACCAAAGGAGGCTGCGGCAGAGGGGTGCACGTTCTACAAGAGCGGCAACCAGGTCTATCTCACAAAGGGTATCGGCACACAAAAGGTCCTCCCAGCTCGTTTCATCCACGCCGTGATTATCCTGAAGAGCGGAGAGAGAATCTTGCCAAGAACCGCAGATGGGCCACCGAGCCTCAGGGATGTGCACGCGGGCCTACTGAGGGCCAACGAAGGCATGCGGGCTCCGCGCCGGAAAACCAAAGCAAGAGCTCTTTGCGCAGGGCATGTCAGTAGGCATTCCTATAAGCTTGGATACATGTGGAGCAGCCAAGCCACACTGCATACCCTACGCTCTAAACATGACTACTATGCATGTATGCTTCCCGCTGCCCAGGCCAACCGAGCAAAGATCAATGCCGGGAGCCTGATTCCACGGCACACTGCAACTGAGCCACGCTGCATCCCAGTGCACGGCGTTCATCTAAGCAAGTGGATGAGCCCGGCTAAGCTCTTATGCAAGGCCGCAATGCCTGAGACCACGACCAGTCTCCTCCTCTCGATGGTCGGGATCTCTGTCAGGGTCAGATGCAGCGCATGCCAGGAGAAATTGATGCATATACATAGAGCTAACATTCCTGAAGGACCGCAGGACATAACATTGATCAAGCAGATACAGTACCTGAGTCGCCGCCACTGCTGTATCATACAAACCCTGATACCTTCTCCTGCGACTGCCCTTGTCAGCCAGAGACAATCCACTTACCCCTACCGGCCCCACCTGACACATGAATGGACCTTACTTGTAAATGCCTCGATCCAAACTGCAATGCCGTCACCAAGCTCGCAGAAAAGATCAGCACGAAGACTCCCAAGCCGGCTCCGAGAGACAGGTGCGGAACCTACGGGACACCTGCAAACCTTGCGTGAGGAAGCGGTAGAACGAGCCAGAAATCGACAAGTACAACAACAGGACGGAGGAGACGAACGAGACTGGTGGCACACCTGGAGTTGGTGGTCTCCACACTCTCAGGAATGGCAATGGCAGACCTCGGACGGTGCCAGGGCAACAGATGGAGACGCACAGGGATGGGGGGTGAACGTCATGGATACGCAGGCCGAAACAAGACGCACACAGTCCATGGAGGGACTCCTCAACGAGCTGGCTACCGGAGTTGCGGCAAGTTCGAGAAGGAAAGAAGCCAAGCGGTCCACATCCACGTCAACGACGAGAGAGACCTACAGGCTGGATCTACGGGAGACGACGAACCAGGAGGCTGAGCACCCAAGCTCTTCTTTCCAGGTTGGGAGTGACAGTGCCTCCTCCAATGCTCCTGTTGGGGGGGTGCGCTACCCTGCCTCCGGTAAGGTTAGTGGTCTCCACACCTCACCTGAGAGCAATTCAACATCCGGGCTGACACTCACTACCATCCAGAAGATTGAAGAACCTCCACTTGATCATGATTCTCCCGATATAGGGCCGATGAAGGCTCCAGCTGCCTCGAGCCGATGTTCCGACGAGCAGGAGACCAGACAACGGTCATCTGCTGCTAGGAGATCCAGCACAATAGAGCCTCGGCCCGAGGAAAGAACACGATCGTCTGCAGCTCGGAGGGCCAGTACCATTGAGCCACGGCCACATCTACTCCTGGTCCAAGCGCCACTAAAGGTGAGAGAAGTCAAGCACCGTCTACTTCGGGACGCGAAATCGGCAGTGCTCAAGCTGATTCCGCATGGAGACGACCTCCATACCTTCCTCAACGGCTACTTCAGGCGGCACCATGCAACGTACCACGCCAATCCGGTGAACATGCCCTCGTGTGGTAACTGGATATGGTCGCTTACTGCAGCATTGATGACAAGGCCGGAAAGCCACCCCAACGTCTGGAGGCGTAGCCACGCGGGAAAGCTGGGAGATGCGGTAGAGGGATATCTGTATACGTTATACCAGAGCCAGACGGCGGAGAACCTTGCCCTGCTGGCCACCTATGGGGAGGCTGCAAAGTCCCTCCACGACCTGATGCAAGGAATCCCGCACGCCATCTACTACCGCCTGTGCTGGAGGCAGTCGCTTGACTCGCTCGCGGAGCTTCTCGAACCGTGGATAGGAGCAGCGTCTACACAGGACATGCGGTCCTCGCACCCCGTCTTGACACTGGCGATACTCGACCGCAACGAATCCACAGCCGTGACAGTTGAGGAGGAGAACACAGGGCTAGACAAGCAGCAGACAACGAACAAGAGGGAGGAGAGACATGGACCTCATGGAAAAGATGGGAGTGGAGGAACACTCTCCACCGATCTCATAGAGGGGGCAAACCCTTCTAACTCTGGTGAAGCTGTTGGTCTCCACACTTCACCTGTGGTCGGCTTGGCACCTGAGCCAATACTCACAACCCTCAAAAAGCCTGCGGAACCTCCACTTGCTCTTGATCTCCTCGTTGCACCGCAGACACAGATGCCAGCTGCTTCGAGCCAGGGCCTTGGCGAGCAAGAGGCCAATCAGCGATCGACTGCAGCTAGGAGGTCTAATACAAATGAACCACGACCAGAGGCAAGACAACGATCGTCTGCTGCACGGAGGGCTAGTACAGTGGAACCACGGCCCCATCTACTCCTAGCACAAGCACCAGAGGAGGTACGACACGCTAAGCAACGCCTACTTCAGGAAGCGAAATCTGCAGTGGTCAAGCTAATTCCGCATGGAGACGATCTCCACAACTTCCTCCACGGCTACTTCAGGCAGCATCATGCAACGTATCACACCAGCCCGATGAACATGCCCTCCTGCGGAAACTGGATTTGGTCGCTCACAGCGGCTTTGATGACAAGGCCGGAAAGCCACCCCAACGTCTGGACACGCAGGCAGGCGGGCAAGCTGGGTGACGCGGTTGAGGGCTACCTCTACACGTTGTACCAGAAACAGACGGTGGAGAGTCTTGCCCTGCTGGCCATCTACGGGGAGGCAGCGAGGCACCTCCATGACCTGATGCAAGGAATCCCACATGCTATTTACTACCGCCTAAGCTGGCGGCAGTCGCTCGACACGCTCGAAGAGCTCCTCGAGCCGTGGATAGGAGTGTCAGATGCACAGGACAAGCGGTCTCCGCGTCCTGCAGTGCCACTGTCAATTCTCGATAGCAAAAAAGGGCCATGCAATCAGCTTGCGACACAAACTGCTGCCTGTACACATGTCACATCAAATGCACGAAGTTGTCTTGGTAGACGAGGTCGCAAATGGCGACTTCGACCGACCGTCAGACGCAGACACCTACGAGGCAGGAGGCGCCGAAACTGCACTTCTTATCCATTACAAAAACTATTCAAGCTTGCCAAAAAGGCGCAACACATTAGGAACCTCCTACAGCAACACACTAATAAGATCAGCAGCCTGAGTACATGGCAATCGACGTCAGCAAAAAAGCCTAAACCAAGACGAAAAATACCTGAGAAGACGAGCACAGCTACACCTGGACTGAGCTTGCCCGGTCCCAAGTCCGGGCTCTACGCACTCATTTGGATGACACACCGCATCACACGCGTAGGGGGGGTGAGGGTTCCCGTCTCCCACGGGGCGGGGGGACCCACAACAACTGATCGCCACTTTCCCGCATCCCTGGTGGGGAAGCAAGTGGCTGGCGAAACAACGGCGCCGGTGTTCGGGGCCGCAGGTGTCACCACTCAGGTGGGACGAAAAAGAAGCTTTCAGAGAGCACAACACCAGAGTACACAGAATCCACTTGGCTACACCCGATATCGAGGGAGGTTTATGCATTGCAGTCAGTTGGGTCTCCACACTGCAACCATGCCTAGCCTAACGACGGCCAAACCACGCCGACCTCCATGCAGACCACGAGGTGGGGCACAGCAACGTCTCAAGGTCCTGTCCATCAATGTTAACAGCCTAAGCGGGTTCCTTTGGGGTGAAGTCAAGGCGTTTCTTGGTGGAGAGGGCATGCAATATGACTTCATATTCCTACAGGAAACGCACCGCACTGCCTTTTGCGCTTTCAAGGTTGATAACTGGATGGCAGTTGGCTCCTCAACAAAACGGGGAGAGGATGTGCTCACACTAGTTCATCCTCGTTACGATGCCTCCATGGTTCGTTACCAGGAGATAATCCCAGGCAGAGTTCTAAGAGTGAAGGTATGCCACAAAGAGGCAGCCATCGAAACACTTAACATATACCAACATGTTTGGATACACACGGATGATCCGGAACAAAACAAACAGAGGCGGCAAACCCTGCTCGATAAGTGCACTGCCACAATACAGGGCATGGCTAGAAGAGACACCCTGATTCTGGCGGGAGATTTTAACTCAGAGGTACACGCAGTAAATGGATTGATCGGGACACGCGTGAACCGCTCGGCCTATCACCAAGCCCTTGACCCACTCTCACTTCCACGATTCATACAAGACAACGCCCTGGTTGCTCTAAACACTTGGCATATGAAGGACCCATGCACCAACTACACCCGTACGGGTAACTCTCAGATTGACTACATCCTTGTGCGCGCACCAAGTGCTGACACCAGAGCGAAGCAAGTAGTCAAACAAGAGGCACCCTTTGGGGCGTGGAAAGAGCTCACACACTCGGCCCTTATTGCTGATGTCCGAATCATCAAGCACTTCCACTTGCCCAAGGCCAAAATGCAACAGGAACTACAGTACTCGAGACACGACCTTGACTACGCGTATCGCCAGAAGGATCACCGAATCACACAATTAAAGAGTAAAGTGGAATTGGAGATAAATCACAGCTTGAACCATGGCCTCCCACTGACTGCAGATCACATCAATCACACATTACTGCGTGAGGTCTCTGACCTCTTCCCAACAGCTACATCAGCACACACCAATCGAGGCCACGCCAAAGCACAGTGCAAGGCCATCTTTGCTGCGTGGAAAGAGCTGTTGACCCACCCTGACGAAGTAGGAGGCTCGACCATCACACTGCCTGCCCGCGTCTACCACATGTGGCAGAGACGTAGGGATCTTCAACGATGCAAGCCATTCACCTTGTCAGGAGTGCTTCGCACATGGCAATGGGTGCTCCTCTTCAACAAGGCAGGACGGCAGAGCAAGCAATATCATCTCCAGCATCAACGGGCCATAGCACGGGGGCACCTGCAGCAAGCTGAAAGGGCCGCCCAGACGCATAACACGAAGCGTCTCTATGGTGCAGTCAAGCGACTCCTGCCCTGGAAGCCCAAGCCCAGGATTATGCTTAAGCACCCGGATGGATCGCCCATGTCTCTGCACCAGGAACACCAAGCACTTGTCCAACACTGCAAACAACTCTTCGCACCCCCGGCGGCATCTCCCAATCGTCCAGGCCAGATGCTCAGCATGCCATTGACGGCCGGTGAATGGACGACACAGCTCAAATGTACTCCTATAGGCAAGGCCGTGCCTGCGGACTCCGCTCCGGCCACAGCGTGGAAGGCCTGCGCGACGATTGTGGCACCAGCCATGGCCTGCGTAGCCAAACGACTTCAGCCGGTAACCTCAGCATTACCTGATGCATGGAAGAACCCTCAGTTGTGTTTCCTTCCCAAACCGCATAAACCTCCATCCACCGCAGCTGCTCTCAGACCTATAGGCCTACTCAGACCGGATGGCAAGGCGTTTGCGGGCTACATCAAAAATCAGCTACTGATGCAGGCCTGCTCCAGCCTTACTCACACTCCACAGTATGCATACCTTCCGGCACGGGACACGTCGGATGCGCTGGCAAGGGTCAACGCATGTATACATGACATCAAGGACGGTCTCAAGGCCTTGGGTGGGAATAGGTTTCTGACGAGACAGCGCAAAGAAACTGGACAGGTCAAAGGCGAATCAGGAGGGTGCCTCCTGTCGGTCGACCTCAGCCAAGCTTTTGATCGTGTCAATCGTGCAAAACTAGATAGAGCGTTGGCACTCCACCAGGTTGATGCTGACCTTAGATCTACCGTCACAGCCATCCACGAGCAGGCTGCCTACCAGGTCAGGGATAAATTTCACCGGACAGATATCTGCACGACGCAAGGAATCCGCCAGGGATGTCGACTAGCACCAGCCCTTTGGGCAGTGCTGTCGTCTCAGTTACTCTGGGATCTTACTCCCGCTGGTCAAACGCCACTGCAGCTTCCATTCACGTTGTTCGCCGATGACCATCTATAGGCCATTGGCTCCTCAAAACGGTGGATGATGCCAAGCGAATGGAGGAGACGATAGTGGCACTTTTTCACATGTTGGAAACATACGGGCTCAAGGTCAATCCGGATAAATCCAGTTTGGTCATTCGGGTCCAGGGAGCGCAACTTGAAAAATTTGTCAAAAGCCGCACGGTTCTAGTTCGCAAACAGGCACATTGGAAACTACAAGATGGAGAACAAACACATCTCATACCGATGTGTGAATCCATCACTTACCTTGGCAACAAGCTCACACTGAAAGAGGGCACCGGCCATACACTTGACTTTAGGCTTGCTGAAGCTGAGGCGAAAGTTATGCAACTTCGCAAAAGCATCAGATCACGCAAGGGATTGTCCAGGCACTACAGAGTACGGGTTTGGCAGGCTTGCGTGGTAAACAGTGCGCTTTATGGTCTGCTAACTACTCCTTTCTCTGGCCAAATGATAACTAAGCTGCGGGCGTGGTTTCACCGCCAACTCAGAGCGGTCACAGGTATGCCAGCTCACCTCACAAAGGTGAGTAACCAGACGCTGAGAGAAACCTACAACCTGAAGGATCCTGTACATATGCTGACGGAACGCATTGCGCGCAAACTTGATGCTATGCAACAAGGACGAGGCGATCCTGCCACGTGCGAAACTAAGACCTTTGAGTATTGGCAAATGCTACACAAGCAACTTGCTAGCCATGCTGTGGAACAACGCACTGTGACGCTGGTTGAACTCTCCAGCTCTAGCCAACATGCCTGCCCCATATGCGGCCTATACTACCCGACCCAAAAAGCCCTTAGGCAACACCAGGCGCTCAGACACGGACAGATTCAAGCCAACAAACTCAGTATCGACTACAAACCCGAACAACATTCTGTTGCGGGCATGCCACAATGCAAACACTGTCTTCTGAAGCTGTATGACTGGGGTGCATTGAAAGGGCACATCATGCAAAACGTGTGCGGTTGGCACAACAAACAGCTCAGCGACTCGAACAACAATAGCCAGCAGGATACGAAGACTGTTAAAGAACAAGTGCCTGTTCCACACAAGGTTGACACCCCACATACCCCTGTTGACCCTAAAGAGAAGCAACACGAACCACAGAACACCACGACGACTGAGGAGAGCACACTCCTGCAAAACGAAGCGACACTGGCATTGCTTCAAAGTCATGAGGGAATATGCACCCAAGCAGCAATACACAAAACCTACCTCAAACAGCACTGCGGTTTTTGTGGCCGCTGGATTGCTGATGCCGGCATGATTAAAACGCATATCCAGAGAGTGCATACGCATCTTGCACGGCATATCACCTCAGACATACACACTTCATGCCAGGCCTTCAAGAACCTCTTCAAAAGGGACCATACATGTGAGTGGTGTGACAGAATGGTGCACGGCTCAGATCGGCATTGCTCTCAATGCCCAGTTCTTTTTCAGCTGATACTTGCAAGGACCAGCAGACAGGCGGCCTCCGCTTCACCTGAGACCCAGCTCCCTGCAGTATGGCCTGTACCACACCCAGGGATGGACGTTGCGATTTACCTCAAATCACCTACTCAAGATGAGATGCAACTGCACATACAGCACATGTCCACGCTTGCCAAGACACGATGTCTCCTATGCGGTGAACAGGTGCAAGACATCCAACACTGGCGACGACACATGGCGCAGCGGCATGACTCTCAGAAACAGCTTGTCCAGAGTCTAGCTCAATCCGAAACACTGCTACAAGCACACGTTGCGCGACCTTGCTGCTGGTGCAATGTCCACTTCCCAAAGTCTGCTCGAGAACACAGACGTAAGTGCCTCCCTTTGCTGCAGCTCTGCCTGTACCATGACCTCCACGTCAGTGGAGACCACGCCAGAGCAACAGATGGCGGCAGTGTGGGGCCTCAGCTCACCACTGGCGACGACGCCTACACCACAGAGACAAGCGTCCGTCAGACACAGACTGACGCAGGGGACGCCGCAAAAGTATCGAAAGGGCATGGGCAAGGGCGCAGGCAAGGCACCTCCCAAGGCAAAACGGGATCGGGACCAGGAAGCAGAAGACGAGTTGATGATGGACCTGGAGTCGCTGGACGAGGAGACGGTGAGAACGGCCTTGAAAACCTTGGTCAAAACAGCACTCAGACACGAACACCAACTGACGATCTTGGAGGCAGACCGGAGCTACGTGTTCTTCCTGGACACGACGAACCACGGCATTGTCTCCATGCTGATCCAGGCCAGCGCAACATGGAACACAAAGTTCGAGGAAGGCACGGTCAACACCTCGCTGAGGGCCACGCTATGGGGAGTACTACTCATGGAATGGAAAGCACGCCTCGAGAAAATCGAGTCCGACACCAAGGTACTACAGGTAGCAGAAACAGCAGGATGGGCAACGCGGTCTCCGCTCCAGTGGATCTACAACGAGTGGAATCCGGTACAGAAAAAGGCGCTACCATCAAGTCGGGACAACCTCACTCACGAGGACGCAAAAAAGGCAGTCAACCAGCTCATCACAAACACCGCCAAGGACAACACAGTGCACCGGTTCCAAAGCCTACGACCACTGAAGCCGGACCTGCAGGCGGAAGTGATCACCATGGTCCTGACGCTCACTGTCCATCAACAGGCGGCAGCCGTCTACCACGACCTGGACCTCTTGGCAAACAACTGCGCGGGCAAGCTGATCGGTCTACGCTTGAGACGGGAGCGAGTGGGCAAGACGGCGCTCACCAAGGAGCTCGAGAGACTGCAGATCTAAAGAGCAGGCAAGGGAAATCCGGGGGAAAGCGGACTCCGCGCCCCATGCTCAGTCAAAAAGAGACTGAGAAGGAGCAACTGCAGACAGGCATCCGCAATTTCTTTTCAGCCCCCGTCCATGTCATGTCAGCGAAAAAACCCCCTAGCACTCTGAATGATCCGGCTTGCACTAAGAACAAGGTCAAAGGCAGCATGGATGGGGCATCGGGGCATTCGGTGAGTGAGACCACTGAACAACCAGTGAAGAGTACACCGAAACAGGGTCAGGTAGGCATCCCATCAAGGGGAACACATGGGACTGCGGGCGCGGGGACAAAAGTGGAGGGCTCTTTATTGGCATGGCGCACCCGCGATCGTGTAACCAATGAGCCTCATGCTAGATCACTCGCACTAACTAATCCACATAACCTTTGCTATGCCAACGCAGTGATTCACATGCTGCACTATGCTCGGTCCCATGATGCTTTTATATCAGGTCTGGGCGAAATCAATGGGGCCATCGCACAGGCCTCAAGATCCAACCAGCACCTGAATATTGCCAGACACCCGGCATGGAACTTCATATGGCCAGGATGGCAGAAGCCCACGCGACAGCATGACGCGGCTGAGTTTCTGCAGCATCTTTGCAACCGCACGGACTGCGTGGCACTCAAGGGGGGATGGGAAGCTAGACGACCACAAGCAGGGGCATATGAAATCTTGGATGAGCAGTTCAACTGTCCGCACATAAGACTGGTGGTCCAACACCCCTTCAGAATACAGGATGCAGTAACAGCTTGGCATACACAAGACCCGCCACATGCCTTGACTAGACCCCCCGAACTTCTCATCCTCCAGATCGGAAGATTTGTCCAATCAGCCGGAGGCATTAGGAAAACGCGGCAGAGGATTGAAATACACAAAAATCTCACAGTTCCCACATTCACTGGACATGCCGGTGACATCGTCAACACCCCATACAAGCTATGCGGAGGGGTCATGCACATAGGCAAGGTGGTAACGGCCGGGCACTATCAGGCATTCTACTTTCCTGGTGACACCGAGGATATTTGGTCCTGCCACCTCGTACATGACGACGGCCAAGCCGCCACGCCAGGGACGGATGCCACACGACAGGCCATTCTTACCAACTGCTACTTGCTTGCATACCGCATCAATAGCCATGTGTGATTCTACAAGGGAAAGTGGCCTCCACTCCCCACTGGTGTACGCAGGACACTCATGATTCTCAAGCTCTCAAACATGAGAGGCTAACTCTCTACACTCAGTCCAACAAGGCCTGAGGTCTCCTCGCCTTGTGAGTCGACACTCTGACAAGGAGTAGACATAGGCTGTAGACTAGCTGGCCCTCATGATGTCTCCTGTACAGTTTTTATTTGCTTGTTAGCTTCACTTGTTAGTTCCCAGCTGTGACACCTCAGCTGTCGGGCTCTGAGGAGCACAGCTTTGCGGCTGCCAAAGGCAGTGTTTATCTTTCTAGGATTGTACAACTTTGCTGTCGGGCTCCACGGGGCACAGCAGGGTTTTTATCTGCCTCACACCGGCGAACCCTCCAGCAGAGAGGGGTGACTAGCTCACACTCGCCCGCATGACAACTGCCACAGTTGATGCGAATGAATGAATGAATGAATGAAAAAGGACAAGCGTGCCAAGCTTCCGGGCTCAAACTTCTTGTCGTGTTCTTAGCACTTCTTTGTAGGAGTTGCTGCCATAGGGACGTGGAGGTTGCCTTGTCCACGATCTCTTTTTCACTGCATTGTTCGACAACATCTTTCTGCGTTTTCAGTATTCTTTCTTTACAACTGGAAACTGGAGCTTGCTGCATTGTGTTTGTCTACAAAAGAGAAGATCAGTTTTCGACACTTGCAGCACCGGTTGGGCGCTCAACTGGTTTATGCTCTTTTCATGGCTGCTGATTTGGCATGGGCACTTGGTGGCGAGCATTGGCTCATATCTGCAACACATACACACAACAAAATGGCCGGATGGAAGCTCAGAAGGGTTCAGTGCAATTGCAAGCTGGCAAGAGGTGCAGCAGTGGAGTACATCCTTGAATTTATTCGAGACGAGTCAAGCAGACGTGTGTCCAGCAAGTTCCAACCCCCTCGAGGTTCCTTGGCCCGACTATGCCGACTTCTGCTGGAAGGACAATCGCTTCGAGGCATCCTGGGTTTTGCAAAGATGGTATTTGCACGGGATTTCAATGACCGCTTGCATGCTTACATGTCCAGTTGCTTTACTGCCTGTTGGGAAGCAGCATCCAGCCTACATGCTTTGGACTGAATGCAGCCCGATCTTAACAGCTTTGCAGTATCTGGCTTGGGAAGCTCACGGTACAAGTTGTTCGTTGTATATCGGAGACGGCTGGGCAACATGGCGAGCCGGGGTGGTGGCAACACGCGGCCAAGGCGAGGTACAGCGGATGCAGTCGAAGCCGGGCGTTCCAGATCTCCCCAGGCTGCTGTTCCCTGCAACAATCCAAGTCGCCGTGGATCTCGAGATGAACCGTCAGCATCATCCTCTGGAAATACAAGGCCGACGACAATGGCAAGCACGGCAGGGGCCGCTACCCGAGACAATGCCAATGCAACAACAAGGGTGGTACTGGACTTGGATGACCTACATGTGGCATGGTTGCGAGAAGGCCACGAGGAGCTCCTCGCCAGAACGCATCCACCATTGGCCCTGCCGGATGTTCGCCCACCGGGCGGCCCCCCTCCGCCTACCAGATCATGCCGGCACTACTACGATGAGTATGGCAGGGCGTACCCCAACATATTCGCCCGAGAAGATGATATCTTTCCACCGTCGTCAGATGAGGATGCGGGCAGTGATCGGGGCAGGCCATCGACGAGCTAGGCGACAAAGGGTCCCGATGCATGCCTGTCAAGGGCCCCCGAGATACAAACAGACAGATGGATGTACAAACAGCGAGTCCCCATGCAGTATGGATGCACTTACAGTCGACGTCTATGGTTGTCTGTTTTCACAATGGGACAATGCAGCACAGATACTTGCAGCGGAAAAGATTGTGCCAATCGATCGGATTCCTGTGTTGCGCAGTTTCTGGCAAATGGAGTGGTTGATATGCAATGCTGTGACACAGCCTTGGCTGCAGGTGGTGCAAGATGAGTGGGGTCCTCGGTCCGGGGCAGTTATCTTATCTGAAGTGGTGCACTGGACAATACCGATCTTGCAATCTGGTCAGGTCAGCTCTACAACAAGCAAGAGATGGCATTACACGCAAGGCGCTGAGTCTTCTTGGGTGGGTACAATGCAAGGTCCCTGCACAGTTCGATCTATACATGCACAGCTACCACAAAGCAGCTTGGAACAAGGGGCTCAGACGATGGCAGCTGGGCTCGAACTTGAGGTCAGCGCATGGTAGTCCTGGACTCAGAGGAGCAATGGAGCGAGGCCGGTCGGTATCGCGAACACCCCTCCGGAGGAGGCTCTCGAACCGGGACAGAAGCCCACTTCCAAGAAGAAGGCCACCCGTGGTGGCCGAGACCACCAGGGCTTACCCAGGGGCGGCGACGCAGTCCTCGAGTGCCAGACCACCTGCAGCAGCGGAGGTACCGGCCAAGACGCCGACTCCGGAGCCAAGACCGGAAAGCAAGGAGGAGCGCAAGGCACGGCGAGCAAAAATCCGGGCGAAGAACGAGGCCAAGAGAGCACGCCGTGCGGCAAAGCAGGCCTTGCGCCAGGGGCCTACAACGGAGGCCACCGAACGCCGGGAACTCCCGGCCTTGAAGCGCCGACCTCGCAAGCTGCCAAAGGGATCAGTGGGCACATTGCCACGTTCCGTCCCAGAAGCAGCAAGGGCAGCTCCACCCACTGCACAGGAGCAGGCAAGGCTGGACAGCATACGCCTCATGCTGCGGCGCAGAATTGGTGCGTTTGGTATGCGCGCCCGAGCTTCAACCCGACCAGCTGCAGCTGGACCACGCAGAGCAGGCCCTACAGCAGAGGCAGAACATCGTTGCCGAGCCCCCCCTTTTGACAGCAGCGCGTGTGGCACCCCGGGCGACTGGAACAACCAAGACCTTCAGACTTGGAGTGCCGTTACCCGAAAACAGCTGCAACTCCCGGAAGGGGAGCCTATGACGGCCAAAGGGGTGGTGCAATTCCTGCAGGACTTCCTTTCCACGCGGCCGGGATCGCATGGTGAATCCTTGTGGGCAAAGTTCGGAGCGGTGGAAGCCCAGCCCGACCAATGGTTTCGTTTGGAATGGCTGCCGTTCACTGTGTTGCCTCTCAGTGAGGGCAACTGGCAGCGAGGATGGCATGGGTGCAAGATGGAAGCACTCTACTCCATCTTATATCAGGGTGGGCTCCGCCCCAGTGAGGACGAGACCAAGGGCGATCGGTTCTTCGCTGGACGACCTGGGGTGTACTTGCACAAGGATGACCTGCAGCGGAAGGCGGAGAACTACATTCACTGGGTCCACATGTGCGGGGACGGACAATTCTGGGCGGCCAAATGGGAGGTCCTCTACAATGCCAACGAAAGTGTCAAGCATGGAAAGAAGACGGACCAGGTGATCCAGGCCTCGAGCTCCGTCGCGCTGAGGGCGTTGTGGATCGCCGCCAGGACGGTACATACCTTGAAGAAAGGGTCATGTGTACAGCAGTCTTGGAAGCCTGGGATTGAAGCCAACCCGGCTCCCGGCCAGCCCTCCGAAGATCCGGGCTCTACAGATCGACCAGAGGTGGATCAATCTTCTTATCAAGGCTCAACGGCCAAAAGTGCACCGAGCCGCCCTGGATACAGCTCGCAAGCCTTCGCGGGATATATGGCAGCCAGCATGATGCAGAGTGGTAGGTACATGGTATGTTGGATGTTGTTTGCTGCGGTGGTTTACAAGAGTCAATACTGCACAGCAATGATACATCTATTTTTCCATCAGCCATGCAACACTCGTTTGCCCAGGTCCTACTCCATGACGACCAGGTGGAACACAGCTCTTGGCACCATGCTCAGATGGCACCGTGAATTGA